TATGGCTCAGCGTGAATAGTGCATTCAAGCTGAAACCCCGGAAATTCAACTTTTCCGAGCCATCTAGAGAAGAGATCCAAGATGTGATATTCTCTGCGAGAAACGCTTCCATCTTTGTCTAAAACCAAGATAAAATGAATGTTCCCGAAGTTGGGGCTTTTATAGAAGGAAAGACACTATTCACGGGGACACGTGTCAAAAATCTGGAGGCTGCAGGACTGAATGGCCGGCCAGCTACTTTTTCTGGCTGGCCAGCCATTTACTTTTTCAGAAATGGCCGGCCAGCTGTCTCTCTCCACCAAAAATGGCCGGCCAGCTCCCAAAGATGGCTGGCAATGCTGCAGTGTATCTCCCTGACCCTGTTTTACTCTTCGAGGGAAAGTTCCAAGCATTTCCATGCAACGGGGGAGTCAAAGGCCTTCATCTCTCTCCGTTTTGGATGTGTTCCGCTGCCTAGGTCGTCAGAAGTGCACTTTGTTGTTGTGAGTTTTTGCTTATCGAGTTGTTGCATTTTGCTTATCGAGTTGTTTGTCGAGCGGACGTGTTTTGTGTTTTTGAGTCATTGCGCTCTGTTTAAGCAATTTTTGTTAAAGTCTTGTTTATTTGTGTTGTTGCATTTTGCTTATCGAGTTGTAAACTTGCTAAAGATTCTGTTATATCTTAGTAAGTTGAGTTGTTTAGTTTGTTGCGTCGGTTCATTACCTGACTTGGTGATTACACAATGCGCATTTCCATTCAATTTCATTTTTGTGCAAAATAAATTGATGCGATACGATGCTAAAAGTTAAAGTACAAACACCTTTTCAAAAGCTATTTCATTTCATCATGCTTTACGACAAACAAAGGTACAAGTTTTACAAAAAATAAAACTGCCTAACATGTGCAAAGTGCTACAAACTACTAGCAAAAAGAAAAATAAAGCGGGAAATAATAACATCAAAGTCCTCGGGAGCGGGAACGAGAAGCACGCCTCATCCTCTTCTGCGGGATAATCTCCGCACCATCATCATCGTCTGAGTCGGAGCCTCCCTCCTCAGCAAATGTCTCTAACTGACGATCGGTAGCCTCCTCCTCCTCCTCAGCATCCTCCTCCTCCTCATCAGGCTCCACCTCCACAACGTGAGCCCTGCGTCTGCGGACAGGCCCCCCTCGAGCTCCTCGAAAAGGCCTAGATGGCCCGGCTCCTCTGGAAGGCCAAGATGGCCCCGCCCCCTGAAAAGGCCCAGATGGCCCAGCTCCCCAAGGAGGCCCAGGTGGCCTGGACTGCGGCTGACCGGACCATGAAGGCATCTGAAAACAAAGAGTTCAAATCAAATACATCAGTCCAAATGTATACATCAGATGCAGATACAAGCAGAGGCTACGTGAAGTGAGTGCATGTAAATACAGTGTACAAGAGGGGTGTGTGTCAGATGTGCTCTACACAAATAGTCTATCGATGCAGTAGAAATCAACATGTCATCAGAAGTACGATAAATGCCAGAAAACTGAAGGGTACCTGAATGCCCGCGACAGACAACTGTGCCTCCCTACGCAGGACCATGCCCTCGAGTGTGGCCACCAGCCCAACCACCTCCTCCATGTATCCTCGCGATGGCTGCAAAAATGAGCTCATAATCATCAGTGAACGGAAGAGTGTCTAAACATCTGAATGATGAATGAAAGAAGTGGAGCATACCGGCGGTGAGTCCGGATCAATGGCGTATCGATCACTGGGCATCGGAGGCTCTAGTGGAATCGGAGTCGGAGAGCTAGCCCCATACTGCCACGCCATCAACTCAGTAGGCATATCTGGCCATCCGACATGAGGATGAATCGACGGAGCCGGAGGAACCGGTCTACTCTCACCCCTAGATGTACTGGCCCTGCTAGTAGAAGGGACGTCTGTAGCTCGAGCCCGAGCCTGGTCCGAGGATGACATACCGGCAGGCCTCATCATCAGGATACGAGCTTCCGTCAATGGAGGCATCAAGTATATATGACGGTAAGTGGCGTAGTCCCCCTCCTCAACATGCAGCAAGGCATCAGTACCCAGCATGGCGCCGACTACCTCTGAGTAAGAGAGTCTGTCAGCGGTCCGCATACTGGCTGGGGGTACTGCGGGAATATCCTGAGAAAGATACCCCCATACCTGGCGCAGAAAGCGCTCCCCCAGGAACCATACCCTGCCAACCGGCCCTTCGAGCAGGACCCTATATTGGGAGATGTCCGACGCTCTGGTGTACTGAAGACGGAGGCCGTCACCTAGGGACACCCAGGGCTGCCATGTAATCTGCGGATGATGAATGCATAAGCCAATCAGAAATCGAGAATATACAGAGCAAATCAAAGATGAAAATGAAAAGAACTGAAAGTTCTGGAGTACCTCTGAGTGTCGCACAGTGTCGAAGTACTCTCGCAG